TATATTAAATGTTTTTTAGTCATTTCATTGCCGGCGTACATACAGGACGAACTTGCTCCCATAGAATGGCAGCCAGTGCAGTTAGCGAGAGGTTGTGCAATACCAGGTGAGGCTCAGCTCGCTGCTGCCTCACCGGCTTCGCTTCTGAGCATTTGCATGGGAAAATGCGAAAATCCAGCGATTTTTAAGAAAAAACTAATCAGAATTGGTTGAGCTAAGTAAAAAATAGATACTTTATAGATAGTAAAAAAGATACTTTTTTATCTTTTTTTAAAAAGATAAACCACAGGGTGAAAATAGCAATGTAAATTATTTTATTATTATATATTATTTTTCCATGATGACAGGTGAGGCTCTGCCTCACCTGCCTCTCCTGACCGCACGTCACTGGTTATTTCTTTTTGCAACTGCAGCGGCTGGATCAAACATAGACCGGATGTGCGCTTTTATTGTGAAAGCAGCATGTAAACGGGTCTACCATAATGTCTTGAGCAGTCGCGCACGTGAATATCTTGTGCGGGTCGGCTGTTCGAAGCTTTACCGAGGTAGCAGACGGCAGCGCAGAATTCAAAGGAAACCAAACGGGATCCATTCATAATAAGTTTGGTTTGTGATGTTCCAAGAACACAATTGTGGTCAGTGTAATAATTTGACTTGTACATGTGTAGCTATCCAGCGATCATCAGTCTCAGCCGATGTTTAAAAAAAAAAAGTCAGACCCAACTTTGTGCAACTTTTCTCCGCTGCTCACGAAGAACGATCTGTTTCTTGCTCTTTTAATTCTGCATAATAGACTTAGTAAATGCGGTTTTTTTAATCAATATTTGCGGTGAATATAACTGATAAAACCTCTAAGTTGTTGTGAAGCATTTTGTGCTTACGTTCTATGACGTCACTGCAACTTGTCGACGTCCACGTGACTTTTATCATGTTGTAGTCCTCCTTTAAAAATATGAAATCGTTCAACCCCTACCATGCACACATTCCAATTGATCCTAGTTATCAAATAGTACATTGAGCTCAGATAATTATTCATATTAGTTTACAAGGTTTCTCTTTAAGGAAACCTAGCAGATAGCCTCAAGTCATTGATTTGCAGCATTCTCTCCTGGATGAGCACATAGCTAAACAATAGCATATTAGCTCTGTGCATTGCTTTACCCAGAATCTTAGTTGCTGAGCTGAGCTAATTTCACCCCCTAAAATTTGACAACTGAACTGACAGAGTATGAAGCCAGATTAACTGGTCTCCATTGGGCTTAGCATTTATCCTGAGTCAGAGTAGTCAGAAGGACAAGATTTGCTCATGGAGTACCATTTCTGGAAATTAATCTGATGAAGCATTAAAAACAATCCAGAGAAGGCACACTGTGAATAGGCAATTCTCCTGATTTTGAACAACCATATTGTTAGTGTGGTAGAGTTCTCGTTTTTTTTTGTTTGTTTGTTTGTTTTGTTTTTGCCACTCTGATACTTTTTGCCATGCAGCTGTATAGTCTCTGCATCCTGATCTAACTCAAAGTTAATTCCTCATTAATGCAGGATAAAGAATCTTCATGCCCAGATCATTGAGAAAGATGCCATGATAAAGGTTCTTCATCAGCGGTCTAGGAAAGAACCCATGAAGTCTGATGCACCATCTGCCATGCGGCCTTCTAAATCCTTGATGTCCATCTCTAACACTGGTCCAAGTGGTTCAGGACTGCTTTCGCACAGCCTTGGGCTTAGCAGCTCACCAATCACTGAGGAGCGCAAGGATGCCAGCTGGAAGGGAAGCCTCGGTATAAACATTTTGTTCTTTTTCTTCTAATTTACGACAGATCAAACTTGAGCTCTGAATTGGAAATTAAATTAACTGTTTTAGCCTCATCAATTTACAAAGCACTGAGAATAAAATGAATATAAACAAGTTATTAAATAAGATTATATAGGAGAACATACAATACGTTTATCATTTGTGTCTCAATACTACAAGGAAATTGCATAAATACTCTAAAAAGGTATTATTATAATAAAGTCAAGATCAACAGCTCTGACCTAACATTTTAGGAAGAACATCTCTGTTGTTTAAAGTGTATTTGTATATTCCACAAGAACATAAATATGTTGTTTTTCTCAATACCACAAAGACCAATTGTTTTTCTGGAGTAGAAATTTCATAGTGATCTTGGGAAGTCTCCATCAATCTCCATCAAGGTCTGATTGATTGGGAAATGGGCCTGAAACAATTTTATTGGTTATTATATTTCTTCTGTAGGTTTATGTTATAATGTATACATATGTAGTAATTTTTTTATTCTCTTTCTCGTTAGAAACTAAGGTGGCTCCATCTATGAGCCAATAGCTCAGCTTAATGATAAAACAAAAGAGAGAGATACTTTCTGTTAGCAAGTTAGATAAGCAATATGCAAAACATCACACATCACCCTGTGTCAAGAGCTAACTATTTTCCAGTCAGAGAAGTGGAGTCATATACTTCATATGGAGTTGGGTTAGCAATGTGAAATGCAAAAATATAGTGAGACTGGTACAGTTTCGTCTCCTGGACAGGCATGTTGATATAATGGTTTCAGGTTGGTATAGTGGTCATAATCCTGGACAGTTAAGTAACTGTTGCACCTAGTGTACTTACCAAAAGGAAACTCCCAAATTAGGGCTGCAAGAATAGAATGTCATTTTATTGTTGAAATGTTTAAAAAGCTGATTCCAATTTATTTCCTTTACGTTTCCACTCCAAAGTTGTAGACAGTCTGACTAATAACAAAATGTTTCTATGAAGAGTCATTTATTTCCTAAAGCAGACTATGGTTCATTAGGTAAGTTGGACTGAAACAAATCAGAGGTAGAGGAGGGTGGGACTTAAATCAGTTGTTAATTCTACAAGAATTTTTTCCGTTTTTTTTATTTTTTATGGTTGTGTAGGAGTTCTGCTGGGTCCAGAGTGTCGCACAGAGTCTCTGCGGACAGAATCCATTTCATCATCCCCTTCCCCCGTACTTTCTACCACTCCGATGACTACAGGTCACTCAAAGACAGGCAGCCGGGACAGCTGCACACAGACTGACAAGGGTCAAAGCCAAGAAGCCAGCAAGCCTAGTCCTTCAGTCCTGCAGAGTATGACCCTGCCTGCCCGCCTATCAAGCCCCAGCCCGGTCTACATCCCAGATCGCTTAGCAGGTCAGCTCACATGCTAGCTTGTAGGATTATAAAATCCTACAAAAAAAAAAGATTTTATGATTTTTTTGTAGAACTGTGTTTCAAACAAAGTTCTTCTCAATGAACTCATTGCATAAATAAGTTTAATTATTTAGTTTTATTGTAGAATTTTGAATGGTCGCATACTGATCTTGTTCTATTCATAATGTTCAGTCAATATTTTGACATACCTTGTTGAAAGATTAGGTAGTGCCAGCTTAGGTTGCTCACAAGAAAGGAAACCATTTTTATTAGCACTGTATGTTTATGTTTTTCTGGACACAAAGATATTGTTACTTTTATGCAATATTTAAAACTGTACGGGAGCATCAAGTAAAGCAGTGGTCTCCAACCCCCGGTCCATGGACCAATTGGTACCGGGCAGCGCAATAAATAATTAAATGTTTCTGTTTTATGTATTATTTGAGTCTGGAGGNAACAAATATGTAAAAAAAAAATTTAATAAAAGTGACATACTGCACCTTTAATTTCACTTATTAGAGGATGGGTCAGGAGGGACGTGGGTTAGAGTTGCTGCTGACTGAGTTATCTGTTGTTAAGTGGTAACAGGGACAAGTTAAATATATGAATACGTTGGTAATTTCTTTCCTTAATTCATTAAATGCTAGTGAAAAGGAGGCAAACAGTAGTCTGTAGCTAAGCTAACTATGTTAAATGGTTGATAATCTCACACAGTCTACCCACCTCTTGGAGAAAAACTGGGTTAAAAATTGACACTTTCACCTTTTTCTCTCTCTGTCTCTATTTTTTGAAAACTTGATTTTATCATTTTTCTTAGCAGCATAGTAACTGCCACAGTCATTCTTGTCTTCCACTTACTTCTGCTGAACATCGTCACCATCAAGTGCTCTAACCAGGAACGGACCATTTCATGCAGATCAAATATTCTACATGTTTTACACATTACAAATTGTGTTGTAAAGAGTCTCTAAAATTCAAAAACGTGTAATTTAATCAAAGTAATTTTATAATTTAATCCATGTTCCATCTTTTGTGCATTATCAACTTCATTGCTACTTCAATGATTTCCCTTAAGTTCTAATCCATTCATTTTTACATTTTTATTCTGTATTTGGTTTATACAAAACATGTCCTCTGTTTTGGTGTCCAAACTACCACTGTTTGGGCTACTGGGCATGTTGACAATCATTTTAAATGTTCTCCACTTGTGAGTATCTATTGAGACATCTTTAAACCTACTTAAACTCTTGAGCTGTGGTTAGTCCTCGTCACTTTTATTGCATTTTACAAAATATTTTATGGTCATTGACTTGAGTTTCTTGATTATTTATAGTACTCAGTATTGCTGACATGTATCTTAAATATCACAGTCTCCAAATATGTCATAAAAACCACATGCTATCATAGGGTATCCAATTTTTTTCCACATGACATCCTCCTCAAGTTTTTGTCTGTGGTTCCAGTATGAAGTGGAACTGTTCCAGAACGAGGCAGCCTGTCAGACTCCGCTGGACCGCCAGTATCACGCAGAAATCAGGGCTATCAACAAGGCCAAGGGCCGACGCAATCAGAGAATTTTCACATACACTGATCACGATCGATACACCAACTGTTTCTCACTCCACCAACTGGTGAATTTTGTTTTTTATCTTTCTATTATTATTGTTTTTGAATGAAATACTCTTCCAGAAGTTATCTCGAATTAGTTTTAACTGCATCTCTGCATCCAGTTGATATTTTTGATTGATGGCTTTGATCTTGTCTTTATTTTCCATCTTGAAAACAGCACAATGACTTGGTTTCCGCGACCAAATCAAGTCCCACCTTCCTGGCTGAGAGGATGGCCAGTGTCAGAAACAGAAGGCAAGAGAGGCGCACCATGTAGGTGAAAATCCAGTGCAGGCAAACATAAAATGATTAAACAAAAGAATGCTCAAATCTTTGCCTGAAAAAAAAAATGGATATGGAAAGTCCAATGTTACGAAAATATCTGTTATTTTTACAGGGATAGTAGCATCACTAAGTCAAGAATCATCAACTGGGATCCCACAGATGAGTTTGTCAAGAGCAGTCATGTGGTAAATAATGCCATGCAGACCATGCACATCATGGGTGACTTGGGCCCACCTGGAAAGTAAGACTATGAGATATGTTCATCATATTTGAAAACTTATATGTTTCAAGTTCAAGTATCTTAGTGATTTTACCATCACCACTTTTCACCAATCAACTTACTGAGAGTGCCTATTGCGAATATTGTTTCCTATTCTTTGCACCCGTTGTCTCAGGTTGGGCCAGAAAGAGAATGAGTGTTTGCTGGCAACCATAAAAACCGATGGTAGTGGAACCATCATTGTAAAACCCAACTTCAACAAAGGCAGAGAGCCCTACAGGCAAGTTTACACATCATAGCAAAAGGAAATGCATGGAGGATCCCCCCTAATCTTTTCTACATATTGTCAAAAACTCCAGTGTGTTTTGCTGGGATTTTCTGTGATGGACCAGCACAAAGTAGCTCAGAATTGTAAAGGGGAAGGAAAATGAAGAATGGTTTTCTAAAATTGTACAAGTAATCATTGAAAAATTGTGACATTCACTTGTATCCACCCTTTTTAGTCTGGTACCCTTTAATTAAATCCATTGCAACCACTTATCTTCAGTAGTCAACTAAGTTTTAGAACCCACCATGCTACAAGCCATGTGGGAGACCTGGGAAATATGTGGAAGGAGGCGCATGAATACTTTTGCAAAGCAAAGCAAATAAAAAATCTGAGAATTTCATTGAAGAAACAATGTTAAGTCAATCAGCTAAAAGTCAGAGTGATGCTTGTTCTGTTTTGCAGGATTGTAACGAATGGCGAGAAGAGAGAAGTGTGGCGCTTAACTTTGGAGAACGCATCCAGAGTGATGAAACCAGAGGAGCGAGAGAGAGAGCAGATCATGTACAAAGATGTATGAGATTATTTGTGTTCATGTGCTGCATGGAGTCAAACAACCAATATATTAATACATTCTCCTTTGTTTGGTTGCAGTTGTATAACAGGCACAAAGAGTACCTCAACAGCCTTGTAGGACAGGACTTTGAAATGGTAAAAGACATTTTATCAGAACAAACGCTTGTGTTGTTGATTGAACAGTTCAGGCCATATGGTCCAAACTTTAAAAATATTTTGTAATGTTTGAAGGTATTGATTCAAAATTAGTGTAATACAGTAGATTAAATGTTGTCTGTGCTTTGTCCTACAGCCTCCTGTAGGTGTCCTACGTTACCTGCTGCATGGAGAGATAGGTGAGGAAAGGTGTTTGGATGTTATTATGGAGATTCACATTTAGACTTTGAAACTCCCATGTATCTTTCTTCTTTCTAGTGTCGGCTAACGACTTTGAATACGATAACTTGTACATCAACTTCTTCATGGAATTGCCAAATAGTGAGTCACATATAGTATGTATTTTTGTTTTTGATCGTATTGAGGTCTAATTTTACCAGGTTACTTTTAGAGCAGCATATTACTGCAAAGATCATTCAAATCTGGATACAAGCATAACAATGTCTGTGCTCACCCCTCAGGTTTATGTGTTTTCTAATATTTCCCATTAGCCACTTAGATTTCAGGATGAAGGTAAATTTTCAAGATGGCTGAGGTTTACGAGTCTTTTAAACCAGTTATTGCCAGAAAACGTTACCCATTTTCATGACTTGAATTAACTTTACGTCACATCAGATGTTTTTGGTGAAGTCATCCTATTCATACAGCCAGAAAAGTTGTATCAATAGTAAAGTAATAATATGTAGCAAAATCAAAAACGGAGGACTTTGCTGTTTGCGAGTCTCACACCAGTAGTCGTCAACTGGAAGAAGATGAAGATGTGTGACAGACTGAGAGACAGTTGTCTTAATGGTTAGCATTAGCTTTCACTAATTGTTTTGTGTGTTTGTGTTTAGCGGTTAGATTCTGCTGTTTTATGTGCAAAAATACAGTTTCCTTAATGATCATGACGACCATCTTTAAACTTTCAGTGGCTAGTGTTTTTTTTTTTTGTTTGTTTGTTTTTTTCACAAAATGGCAGACTCCTAGGAACATCTGTGCCCAGTTCTGTTTTTGTATCCACATGTGAAAGATTTTGCTTAAATATTGAATTATCTGCTGCATTCTTTACTTGGTATGTGTTTAAGATTGGTCCAGTTTACCGTTCCAGTCGATGTCAGGGGTTACTCAGACCTGCAGGACCAAATCTTTGGGGAAGGTGTGTACTTTATTTATTAACTTTAGAGAATTACTGAGGAAATGTATTAAAACCTGTCATTTGAAATCTGTCAACAGGAAAATGTAGCGTTCTTCAGCTACCCTTTCAGCTTTGAGGCTTTTTACATGAGTGAAAAAGAAAACGAAGGTCAGTAGCCCTTTAATTTTATTTCTTGCATAAAGAACACAAAAATGTGGTTTAAAGCAGTGGTCCCCAACCCCCGGTCCGTGGACCAATTGGTACCGGGCCGCGCAAGAAATAATTCAATATTACAGTTTTATGTATTATTTGAGTCTGGAAGATCTTTTATTTTGAAAATCCTTTAACCGGATTCTCTCAGTTACTTGCGCGCCAACACTGATGTGTTACAGATGTGGCGCATCTATATTTTATTTTGAAGGGATATGTAAACGTTACCATAGCGACCAGAGTCAGAGCGTTTGGGCAGTGGTCGAGAGGAGATGAGTAGAGCTTGTGAGTCTTAAGTCTGGTTTAGACGGCAAGATATAAGGATTGCCGGCCGATTCTCCAAACCTCTGTGACCACAGAGCTGATAAAAGTACAACAGGTTCGATCGGTTCATGTTCAGCCACACGGCTGGAGCAACACACCACACGAACCGATTCCAGACAAGAACATCGCGATTCCAGAGGATAATCCAGTAAAACCCCCAACATAGCATATGGGAATTTAGAATGACCAAACGCGGATGACGATGTAGAAGCAACAGTGATAGTTTGTGGAGTCATTTTAAGAGATAAAAGACGTAACAAAAAGAAAAGGTGGCGGATAAAAGATGACGGGAGCAGCCGCTCTATTTGCTGCACTATGATTTGGAGGTGAATATGTTTTTTCATAGTTAACATTTTTAACTGAATAAACATAATAAACATATATAATAATGACCTTTACATATAATAAACATTTCCACATATCATCTCTGATATCCACCAGACTCTCAGTTGCGTGATATGTCAGCTGTTTGGGATTCCCCTCTGTTCTGACGTCACTGCGCTTTCTGATTGGCTACCTGTCACATTCAGCAGGTTGTATTCTCGTTCCCAGTCAGTGTAAACCCCACAGGCTGCGATAAAAGGGCCAAGACAACCCAAATCAGGATTTAGCGGGAACACCAACATGCAGAAGCCTTATCTGACGGTTCCCCCTCACGGACCGCAACAAAAATTTCAAAGTCTTGACCGGTCCGCTGTAATAAAAAGGTTGGGGACCACTGATTTACAACAAACATCAAACACAGTAAATATGTTTCATTAAGTATTTAACAAACAAATTGCTTCTACCGCGATAATTAT